CAGCCAGCCCACCTTTCCTCATGACTACCCAAGCGTTCCCACTCACTCCAGTCAGTGGCCATCTGAAATTTCTCTCCAGGCAGAGTCTACCAACCCCTTCCTGGTCCTGTGATAAAGAACAGCACATACAGAGGACACTAACACCAACAATTCTTTTCCATTCTGATCTCAAAAATGTCCAGAACAGAAGTCTGGAAAGAGCAACCCATTGCCACATTTGGAGCTGGTCTGAGAAGACAAGCATCCTTCCCAGCCTGCGTAATTGCAAGGAAAGAATTAAAACAGTAAGACAAAATTAAGCAATGGTCTAATTTACTGCTTAGAATTTACTAATATCCAACTGAAGAAGAACACCAAGGGCTATAAACATTTCAAGACACTTCACTATATTAGAGAGTACTTGCCTTTTAACACTTATTTAAGAAAATAAAAAATTTCTGAGCAGTAGTTTCCTGTGAAGACATAAATTAGCAGTTTCTGATCAGCCGCAGTAAGTGCAATACAAGCATCTTCATGTCAGAGTTATATAGACCAAAGCCTACATGTACTTTTAGCTATTCTCAGTGCATTTACAGAACAATCCAAATCTGGAAGGAGAAGGATTAACTGATGCTTCTGACATTATGGTGCAGGTCTGAGATTTGGGACATAAGACTTTAGCTCTGCCTCTGCCTGCCTGCACAGCCACAGGCATATCACTTAACCTCACTGTATTTCAACCCTTTATCTATGAACACATGGTAAAAATGCCTCTTTCGTTGCCAAGATTAATTCACATTGTGTTTAAGAGCCCACAAACTGGTTCCGCACACAGAGGAAAGCAATTTGACATTTCAGCAGAGATAAACTACACTAAAGAGCTTATATTACAAGGGCTCAACTCTGGCAGATACTAAGTACCCTCTTTTCCACTAAGCCCGTCTCCTGCAGTCAGCAGCTCCCTCAGCCCCTTCAGAGGCACGTTACCCTCGCCACCCAATGCCACATCAATGCTATTTGCTTAATGACTAGTGTCAGTTCCAACCTAGGTGCAGAATGAGGTCCAAGCACTAAAGCAGACGACATTGGTATCTGAATCCATCCCTGGAGCTGTTAAAGTTGGACTATGGCTCCTTGCAACAGGCTAAAGGAATCCTCCCACTGAGCATGCAGAGGCCTGAGGACCGTGTGTCTAACGAGGCTGTATCCCCACTCATATTTTAGCTTGGCAGGTCTGGTGCTCCTTTCATCTTTTGCTTCAGGTAGCTCTCTTTAATTAATAACATTTCTGAGTCGACACAGGGAACTTTCCACCCAGAATGAATGGCCCTCTCTCATTAGAACCATGACTTGTCATGATGTATTCAAGAGCAGAAGTGTGATTCATTCCCTTGTCTGGGAATGAGGGGTGTTGCTGGGGGGTGGGGGGGAGAAGAGTCTCTGTAATGAGTGACTGATATTTGCTGAAGTTGATATGCGACTCTGTCGGCTTGAACTGCCTTGTCAGGACAAGCCTTCAAGAAAGGTGATGTTCCTACTCAAGAGGTTTTCCTCATTAAAGAAATTGCATCTTAACAAGAGGGAAGGGGAGGGCTGGCAGGAGAGCTGCTGTCTCCCCGACTCCAGCCTGATTCACACACACCAAGAACTGAAAGCAGGTTGATCCAAGCACAGCCAGTAGAGGATCAGCGCTCCATTTAGGAGCCCTCTCACACAATGGACTCTCTCCAGCAGCAACCAAATCCCTCTGACAGGTGCACCTTCTGATGGGGCACCACACCCATAACAAAGCCTTTGACAGCATGGTCGAGGACCTTGACTCATGCTAAATCTCCATAAGCCTTTCCCAGATGCTTGGTACTCAGGGTACCCAGAACTTCCTGTTCTGGGCACCCAGCTCCTTGTGACTAGTGGTCTCCGTTGTCTGAGGGAAGACAGACAAACAGCTCTGTGGTCTTCCAAGGAAGCTCCAGTGCTCAAGAGCAACCAAATCTGTAGCCACACAGCACCTCATTTCCTGATGATCCCTGAGTCAAGCAGAGGATTTAGTGATCCTTTAGCAGCTGAGTTTACATCTTGAATCCTGCAGACTCAGCAGTGCCAGACACCATCAGCAGAGAGCAGTACCCTGACAATCGTTGCTCCTCTGGTGCCTTTGTTTGAGCTAGGAGTGCTACACACATTGCAACTCCTCACTTAGGCAGAGCTATTTCCCCACCTTATCCCTATATCCAACACTGACAGGCTTGAAGATTCCTCCTTGTTACAGCCACTTTCCTACGTCCAGGTTGCTCATCCCACTGTGCCTCCCTGGCATCTACCAGTGGTACCTACTGGAAGCCCTCACAGTAGACAGATCAGTTCAGAAGTCACCATGCCTCAGCTCTAGAACAGCACATGCAGACAGAAGCCAAACTAAATGTCCAGGTCACTGCTGGAGAAGCCAGGAACAAAGCTGCATGGTTTACCAGCCAAGGTAAGGACAATGGAGGACAGGAACTCTAAACCACTCAATGGATGGGCAAGAGGACTGCAAGCACCTATGCAAGCTATGCATAGCTATGCAAGCAGCTGTCATTACTAAGGAAGCTGAGAAAAGAAAGAGTAGAGTTAGAAGTGGACCTGTCACAAGTGCTGGCTCCTTAAGCCCAGAAGCGTTGCACTCACCTCAGTGTCCTCAATTCCCCTGGAACCCAGCCAGGTTTCTAACCATGTAATGCTTCCAACAACACTCCTCCAAATGTGGACAAACAGCACCACCTCCCTTCCTACTGCCCCAATGCCTTTGGTGACCAGAGTGTGGTCTCAACATGGTAGCATCAGCTACACTGAAGGTCTTGAAGGGAAGCATGGGGTGATTCCCTGGAATACCTCATGGATGTTCTATGTCTCTGAGGCTCCGTCTCCCTGTCTGAGCAGCCTTGTTTCAGCTCTCTGCTTTCCCTCTTTAAAAAGAGATGCTCAGTTCTGCTTTGCTAAACCCTATTTGGCAATGTGTCTAAACACATGCAAACTTAATTAGTTCAGGAGGGAGACTCGGCATTTGTGGTGACGGATAAAAGTAATGGGAAATGAGACAAGTCAGAGCTGGCAGGGAGTCCTCACTCGAGCCTCATCCACTGGCACGGTGCTAATCAGATGTGACGCTACACGCTGCAGCTCCAATCGGCGATGGAGCAGCGTGATGTGCTACTCACCAGGCAGCTGCAGCCAGGCTCCTGCTATCCATGTGTTTGGAAACACAGAATGTATTTTCTGCTTTGCCCTGGAGATGCTTCAGGATTGAATTCTGAAGTTAATGGTTTAAAAAAAAATTTTAAAAGGAAGGGGGAGAAATGAACCACTCGCAATAACCTCATGGCCAGGAGTGGAGTCTTCTTTTCCAGCTGACTAGTGAGGGACAATCCATGCGAGAGACCACTGCAAATGGTGAATAGTGTATCTCCACTCCAGAACAGCATGTCCCTCTGAGCCAGCTCACCTTACAACCCCAATGGCTCACCAGAAATGGGGCTTATCTTTACCTCTATTTGCCTGCTGTAGAGCTCTGAAGAAAAAAAAAAAAAAAGCAAGAAAAAAAAAAAAAGCCACCAAACACATCCAGGTTGCTCCTTCCATATGGACACCAAGTTAGGATGTCATTACCTGAGACTTGTCAGCCTACTGTGAAAGCAATGGAAAGATGGGATTGGAGCAAAGACAACTGTTTCTCACAACCATCAACAAAATGGTAAACTGGACTCTCAGAACAGCAATACAGGAGTAAAGAACAGAGAAAATAAAACACATGAGAAACAGAAGTTTAGTACAGCAATTGTGCTCGTCTCTAACAGAAGCTTAAACATGATATATAAAGAAAAATAACTCACTCCTAATTTAAAGCAGCTAACACAGGAACTTGCAATATATATGAGCTCTAGACACAGCCTGAGCAGAGACCCAGATTCTGACTCAAAAGTTCAAATACCACCCTTCTGTCTCTGTCTGGAGCCAATTTCTCATCTCCACTAGTGCTTGTGCTGAGCTTTGGACCCCATATCTCCTGTTCCACTAATCACACCAAGAAAAGGCAAGGAGCTGCCACTCTGCAAAGACTACCCGTCAGGGAAGAACTTTTGCTGATTGCTCCTAGACTATGTGCAGTTTATTTAGGCTTCCAGCTTGGGGAAACCAATGTCACAGTGAAAACCAAGTAACACTACTAACGAGTTGTGGCTGTCAGTTTAGGATGGGAAGTGTCAAGCCCATGCTTTACTGGTGTGACAACAACAGAAGTCTATCCAGCACCACAGGAAAATGAAAAGCTAAAGCAAGATTATACAAATCCAAGGGAATTCAGCTCTATAGGACACTGATCTGCAAATGCTTTGGAGATTGAACTAGTTTAATTTCTGGACATTTAGTTCCATTCTTATAATAATATTTTTATGTTTTGGCCTAGCAATTTTTCTAACAAAACATGCACATACACTGACACTTGCAGATCCTAGTGCAGGTCCCCACCTGCTACTTGCCAGGTATTCACCCAGCTGATGAAGATGACCTTAACGATAAGACCACCACTGGAGCATGCCAGACCTGGCTTATACTCTGTTCCAAAGATTACTTTGTGATTCATATTGAGTTACTGTGCCAAAATGACAGAAAAAGCCTTAAATGCAGGAAGTCAGGTAAGGATCATCACTTGATCATCCATGTATGCACTCAGAAATATCCATCCCTTTGGAAAGTATATTGGATAAAAGGCAAAATGTCACAAAGCCCCAGTTTAAACTTTTCTTGGGGTTCTGAAAGGCTTCACTCACTATAGGGAATATTCTAGGCAGTGATCTTGCACCCTGCCCAGCACCCACCTGTCTTCTGAAACAACTCTCCTCTCCCAGTTATGCATGGCAAACAACAATTTCCCTAAGAAACAATGACTAGTAAACATTGGAGGCTTGCAAGGACAAAGACATATGCACTACAGGCAAGCATGGAGCAATAAAGGCCATAAAATCTCCCTTCCCTCCCATACTCACATCACTTTCAAATCCCAGTCTCCACAGGTCACAAAAATCGACTTGACGCTGGGATCTAAGAGGCCTTCTTTTGCCATCCACTCGTCAACCCTCTGAAAGGAAGGCAAGAAAAGGGGATGAGTTTTTCAGAGACAGGCCGAGCCACAACAGTTAAACTCAGATAAGCTGCTTGCAATCAAGAGAGAAGAAAATTGTGATCTTATCCAACCTCTCCCTCTCTCTCTTCTCTCTTTGCTTGCCATCTCAACAACAGCACGTTTGGACCTTTGAAGATTTCTGATAGGAGACATCAGGCAACCAGAGGAGAGATGATCTTATCAGACACCGCAGCAGCTCTGCTTGTGGAGGGATGAAAGTTGTGCAGCGTTAACGGGACGATACAACTGTGCTGTTACCTGGCATTTCTCCTCTCCCTGTACCAAAGAGGCTCGTAGGGAACATAACTTGTGTCCCCTCCAATGAGGAGAAAAGACAGGTATATTGAGATGACATCCCTCCCTTACAGCATTTCTCACATACTCTAATTCATATAGCACCAGGGGGATACGGGAAGAGGGAAAAATAGAAGGGATGGGTACACATAGGCACTGTGTGGCAGTAACAAGCAAAGCCAGGTATCCCCCTCCTCTCCAGACTGGATCCCTCTCTCCTTCTTACAGTTCTGAAGAAGTGCTTGTTCAGGGTAGTGTGGGTTTAGAGTGGATCCACTATTCCCGATCAATTTCCCACAGGGACAGATATTCTGGGTCCTCTTCAGAAATGGGCTGTGTTAACCTGGAGGATGCAACCCACCTTAGGGATTAAGGAACTAACCTAGACTAGAAGCCCTGCATATACAGAAGCCCTGCACAGACACTTATTCCAGCTAAAACTAGCAAACGACTTGCCCAAAATCTTAGAGTGGCAGGCAATCAACTGTTATCACACAACCTCACTAGCAGTATTTTCAATGCTTGAGCAACAGAAATCCCTCCTCTTCTCCCTTGCTTCACACCTTCTACTCCCGAGTAAACCAGCATGCCTCAGAAACTGCCTGACCTGAATCTCATTTTATCCTACAAGCATACTGCTGTATGAGCACCTTTTCTGTCCAAATAAAAAAAAAGTTCCACATAATCGTTTCCATACTCTAAAAAGCTTTCACAGAAACAGAACAAATTATTTTCTGGAATACTCCAGTAGTGATCTACATTCATCCATCCAGGCAAAGAGGGCTCTTCTCCTGGGGGAAACAGGCACATGCATCTATATGTTTATGGACAAGCAAGACTGCTATGTCTCTCTGGAGAGCTGGGGGTTTGCATGGATGAGAGACATCACCTCTGCAGAGCACCATCTTCAGTCTCATGTCACTGCCACAGCCTTTCCTGCCAGGGGTCGATGCTTCTTCCTGTGACTGACTGTGTGACAACCCTCTGAGTGAAACTCCCCAGAAAAGCAGCACCCAGGCTCTCAGCCACACTGCCTTTGGCTGAGAGGATCTCCCAGCAAGCCTCACATGAGCCTGCCGGGAGTTAGGGACAGCAGTTGTAACCTTTCTAAACTCCCTGATGTGAGCGCCCATCAAGTGCTGTCTCCATGGAGGATTTTAACACCTTTAATTTGATTTCCTCAGATAAGCAATTGTTGCAATTACTCTGATTAGGAACAATTAGGTAACACAGCAGTGGAAATCCTGACAGAGACAACGCATCAAACACCAACCTGCAGCCCAAGCAGGCTCTGCTGGAGGAGATTTCCTTCACTATCTGACTGCCAATGAAAGCTATTGATGGAGAAATACTTCCAAGCTAATTAAGCCTTAAATGCTCTAGGAATTCCACATTAAGCAGATGGTATTATTAGGGCTGTATCTGCATTCACACATGCTTTAGATTAGATTTCAGAAGCATTTTCCTTCTATACTACATGTATTATCGAGCATTTAAATAGGTAGAAAAAATAATTTAATAAAGTGCTGAGGGAAGGGAAAAGAAATGAAAGCAGAATCTCCAGGAGCAGTGGTCTTGAGTATTGTCTTGGTGCTTTAAAACTGGCTCAAGAAAGAATCGCCTCTTCTCCTATCTACTGGAAGGAGTTTGGATATCTTGTCAGCACCCTTGACATGAACAGCTGGAGATGACAGATCAATGGTTCAATAATCTCAGCAGTGTGTCACCAGTGTGACAGCAAATGTTATTCTAATGAAGCTGTAATCATAGTCAAATTACGCGGTTCGATTCTCAGAAAGGGGAGGGTGCAGGGAAAGAGATGAAGAGGGGACTGCAGGACCAGAGGTCAGAGTTTGAGAACTAAAGGTTATTCTGCTTACCTCAAGCACTTGCTGGAGGCTTGGCTGCCCATCCACCATGCCTTGAATAATCCCAGTCAGCTGAAACAGAGACAAACGGAAAGCAGTCACCAGAGCAGCACTCAAAAGATCATTAGAGAGGTCTACTCTCCTGTCCATCTTTCTGCAACCAAAACATACTCCTGTGATCCACATGGATGTTGCTGAGGAACCAGCCATAGCAGAGTGACCCTGGCAGCTGCCCAGCCACAGGCAAGGGCACAGCTTCATCCCAAACACAGAAATGTAGTGGTGCTCCTACTCACATCACAAAACTGCAAAATTCTCAGCATGGCAGGGTCCACTTGGGGAGCAGTGTCATGCACCAGCATGATGCCCTTTTTCAGCATGCCTTTCAGCAGTTTAGGTGTTGCCTTGATGTACACAGGCAGTGGTAACTACCAAGGTGTCTGGACATTCCTCTGCTAGGAGGACACCAAAATTTCAGTGTTAGATGAACCAAACAGAGGAGTATTGGTAAGTGAGACCTGGAGTGGACTCAGTCATCTTCTCCTGAGCTGGACAGCCAGCATGTGTACTTTCCTATTGTCCATCACAGCATTCCTTGGCAGTTCAAAATTGTATTTAAAATAAGAGAATGAAATCTGAAGAAAAGCACTTCTTTCCAGAACCCTCTCTAGTCTCTTTTCCAGGAGGTTCCTTAGGAAGAGGTCCTGCTGACAGATACTCCTGCTGACTGCTCCTAGACTGCTCGGCCATTCAAAGCTAAATACATGCATTAAAAGATGCAGTCTCATGAGCTTCTGCCTGTGTCTGCCCAGGAGAGCTTGAGGCACATGGAAAACAGATAATTTTTCTGTCTGCCTTCCAACTGACAAAACTGTCCTTTAACATATTGAATATCGGAGTTCAGTAGCTTGCCATCGATGCACCCAAGTAATTAAAAAAATCATTATTAAAACAAGTCCACACTATGGGATTTCACTTCATATGGCACTTTCCTGAAGCTACACATCTCACACGTTTTCATAAAATAAAGGTCAAGCACAACCTAGAAGCATCCACACCTCTGGAAGCCATAGCATCCAGTTGAGAGATACCAATGGCCCCACCATCACTCGGGAGTAACTCTTCCACACAGACCAGCTCAACCTAGTCGTACATAAGTCCTTTCACAAACCACAGAGCTCTGCTTTATTAAGTATGTGGCAACTGAAGGAAGCTAAATGATTTCTATCCCTCAGTTTTGTTGGCTGCTTAGCTTACAACACTGAACTTGGAGGATAGAAAAAGAAATTATATTAAACTCTGATTAAACTGTAATTACATTTAATGAATACCAAATACCTGACTCACTGAATAAACTGTAAGTGGGAAGATTATTTTCTCATAGTGACTCCCATGAAATGGCAATACATACCTTTAAGGGAAAGTATTTTAATTTTAAGAATGCAGAGCTCCTCTAGGTGTGTTTCTCAAGTTCATCAAGCCATTATGAAGTGGAATTTTAAGAAAGTGGAGGGACACAGACACTCTAATATTTCAGAAACTGTTTATATATTAATCTGTATTTTAATTGGGTTAACAGCTGCTACAAACTTCCATACTCTGAGAAGCAAATAGATTTGAGGAATTAACACATGGCTCTTTAGAGCAGTTTTTAAAGCTCACTGGCATAATTTTTGCTTTTCTTGCCCTATTTCTCTCCACACATTCCTCTGGCAGAGGTGGACAGCTCACCTATTGCAAAGTGCTGGTTCTGCCTTTCAGACAGAAGCTCAACCCAAATCTCTGGAAGTGACTGAAAGGTGTGTTCAGAAAGGAACACAGAATCATAGAACAGTTTGTTTTGGAAGGGACCTTTAAAGTTCATCCACTCTAACCTCCCTTGCAGTGAGTAGGGACATTTTCAACTAGATCAGGTTGCTCACAGCCCCGTCCAACCTGACCTTGAATGTTGACTCTCTGGCAACCTGTGCCACTGCTTCACCACCCTCAATGTAAAAATCTTCTTCTGTATACTTAGTTGACTAGCTTAAAGTCATTATTCCTCATCCTGTCACAATGGGGCCAAACTGAAAAGTCTATTTTATAGGCCCCCTTAAGTACTGAAAGGTTGCAATAAGGTCTCTTGGGAGCCTTCTCTTCTTCAAGCTGAACAAGTTCCCATAGCTCCCAGCCTTTCCTCACAGGAGAGGTGTTTCATCCCTCTGTTCATCTTCATGGCCCTCCTCTGAACTTGCTCCAAGAGGTCCAAGTCTTTCCTGTACTAAGGATGTCAGGCGACCTTTCACTATCTCAGCCAGCACTGATGCAAATGGTTTCTACTATTCCAGGCACCCTCAGGACTGTATCTGTGGAGCACTGCACCCCTGATGTCATGGGAGGACAGGGTATAAGAGCCTCATCCAAACACTTCCCATCAGGAGGAGGGAGGGATATGAAGGCAGATGCAGAGGTGCCACCAAGAATCACTGCTTATTCTTGCCCAAAACTCCTGTCCTTTTCTGCCAGGCCAAGCGAAGTACCAGCCTGTCTGTACAAGGACACATTGCCAAGTATACGCACACAAGATTCACGCTGCAGAAATCACACATATGAATACAGAGGCATGTACCTGCTCCATAGGTACATTGCAATACATGTCACAGAGTGCTCAAACTGGACCAGATTTCTACTCTCTCTTCCTTTCTGATATTTTTTGTTATCAGTTATGCCCATCTGCTGCATCCAACCTAGTGCATTGGATCTCTGCAGCATTATCTGGTCTTGCAGCTTTGAAAAAGTATAAAAACATAAAACTGCACAATTGTAAAATTTCACTGGTTATCCAAAGAAGCATGAGGTACTTGGGAACATAAGCAAGCTATAATGCCTTTATCATTTTGTATTTTTATTGTCTATTCCTTCAGGAAAAAAAATCAATAAAAATTAGTCATAAAAAGAGAGCAAAGTATCATGAAAAGATCTGTACAAGCACCTTGTGTGTAGAGGGAACATCTCCTTAAGCTCCTGGCAAGAACTTTTTTGGGCACCACAGAAAATCATCTGCATCAGCCAAAAGGGCACAATGAGCTTTATGCACCTAATAACAACTTTCAGCAACTTGCAAACACTGTCTATCTTCTCCACCTAAGCATTCAGCTCACTCCTCACAATAACCAAGGTTCACGACCTGTTGTTCTACAGAAGCAGGTCAGGGGAAAGGGGATGAGATGAGGTCTAAGAGTGAACCAGCACTGGAAGACAGCTCCTGGCCATTGGTGTGGGGAGTTGGAGAAACATCCTGTAGCCAGGGGAGAGCACAGACACATCAAAAGCTAAGCTTGTTGAAGGGGCAACAAGCTCTCCACCCTTCCAGGCACCCTTCCCATGCTGTGCTGTTGTCTTCAAGAAGGATGAGGGATGGAAGAGGTACTCCAAACCCCAGGGAGTAATGTCAAGCAACTCCAGTAACCCTTCCACACAGTCTACACCAAGCAGTTCTACTGTTTAGCAAAGGCAGAGGGGAGAGGGGAAATCAGCAGCACAGCAGACAGGCTCCCACATAATGTCAACACCACCTAGAGAGTTTATCTGGAAAACCATCGTATTTCTACTTCAAGACAATCAGTTTGCTGATTACCTAAGCACTTGTCTCTGGTGTACAATCTGATAATCAGGCCTGATCTTTCTTTGTAGACAAAGAGGCCAATAAATCTCACCCTTTGTAAGTAGAGGTGCCTAGGCAAAGGCCTTTACTGGCATTTAGCAAAATGAGTATTTTTCAGAAAACATAAACCAGCAGAAAGCCAATAACAAGTGCTAGAGCAGTTCAGGCAGCAGCTCTGCAAGAGCACATCCTGGTTGTGTCTCTGGGGTCTCAAGTGAATCTACACCAGTGGCACAGGGATGATCCCTGCACCTACCAAGCAGCACCCCACTGTTTAGTAAGGGTCACCTGTGGCTCTCAGGGCAGAGTTTCAAACTCAGCCCCATACAGAGGCCCCAGGAAAAAGCCCAGTTACACCTCTAGCATGATCTCACTCTTGGACCTCTTGGCAGCCCCTGCAACAGGCCAGGGGACTGCCAAGCCAGGAAGGCCAGGGGCCATGCTGGGCACTAAGTAACAAGGGGTACAATGTGGGGGTGACCAGGAGCCAGTAACATCATGGCTAGGATTAAAACCAGCTTCCTAATCCATGCTGTTAATAACAGAGGACTTGTAGGTAGTGGGGCCTTTTTGTACCATTGATACAAATAGGTGGGGGTCCTGCAATCATTTTGCCTTCTGACATCAGTACTGCCCATTTTCACCCAACTCTGGACATGATGCCAGACCAACATTTGTGGCAGAGCCTGCAGCAGAATGCTGACCTGTGACACCTGTGCCCGTCCTGGACTCCTGGCCATCACAGCCACACAGCCACAGCCACAAACACACACACACACTCTCATCCTTGCTTTCTTCAAGGCTCCACATGGGGGACACGAACACCTGCTCCAGATCCCCAAGAGCAAGGGAAGACAAGAAACCATCACTGCAGTACAGGAGCATTAGATGGGCTGACTGTTGGTCACAAGGTCATCATCCAGGGAACTTCTGAATGTCCCTAGATTGCAGCAGGCTGGAGAGTCTGTTCAGTTCACAAAGCTGAATCACAAGCACACACCAAGCCAGTCATGCAGGTTCTTGTGCAAGAACAGAGCTGCAGTCTTTAGCAACAGAGGAAAGGATGCAATAGAGAGATTTCCAGAAAAAGGAGTTTTGGCGGGAGTTAAAGAGACAACTTCTCTCCAGAATTTAGGGGACTTGCAAGGCCGACATTTTGGGCTCAGCTCTGGAAGATGACGTTGTTTTTAGCAAAGATCAGGTGCAAGCTGTGAGATTTATCACATTTGTACAAGCATATGTCCAGCAAGTCTCATGGGGATAAGGACAGCCAAAGTAGTTGTCCAGCCTTCTAGCATTAAGGTTGCAAAACCATTTCCATTATAACCCTCTGTTCTCACACATTTATAGCTTTCTGAAAGCTCTTCTCTGGGGAATAATGTTTTCGGTGCTTAGTCTTTTCTTTTTTTTTAAGTTTAAATAAAATACCTTCAGATGGTTTTGAGTTACAGGAGAATAAAAATAAGTATTTGTTTTTACAATGTGAAAATATGGAAGGGGCTGGTTGGTTCTGGAGGGGACTCTACTGAACACAGAGGAGTCATTTTTCATCAGGCTAGTACAGGTGGGGACAAGCCCTCTGTGGGCTTAAGCCTGTAGCCACAGAGGGAGGGGAAACAACCGTGGTGTTGATGATCCTAGACAGGACAGGGACAGAATGAAGAACTTGAATACACTGATTCCCACAGTCAGTATTTTAGACATTGATCTGGCCAAAATCGAACCAATGGCCTGATAGGAAAGAAAGTCTAAAACAAAAGGAACTTAAAGTTTATTTTGATGATTATGGCAAGGAGGATAAACACATTTGGAAAAACAGTTAACTTTTTGGGTCGAATAAAAAAGTAAAACAACCCCAAATCAACAACAAAACCCAATGTCTGCTCCTCAATTCCTTTGAACCCTCAGGGATCACATTTACCACCTTCACTCCATATCTGGGAAAGGTGGCCACAGCTCAAGAGCAGCTGTCCTAGGCAATGAGAGGCTAAGCAAGTAAAGAGGCCTCTTCTCCAGCAATCATTTAAAGTAGCCCACAATTATAAAATCAAAAAGAAAGTCTTAAAAATACAGACATGAATTATCCTACCACTCTGAAGGACTTCTCAAATCCCAACATGCATGCCTACAGGAGAGTCATTTAATGCCTCTGAACCACACATCTGCCCAGCAGTGTCATTCCTCAGTCTATGCTCTCTTCGACCTTCCCCACCACAGAGGAACACAGCAAAATCGCAAGAGCTCATAAAGAGGTTACAGGATTTTGAACATCAGCTAGTGTTTATTTGGTGGTCACCCAATCAAGACATTTGTTAGCTGTAAATACAATTATCTTAAGTTAGCAGATCATAGCTAGACTTAGTTATGAATCCAAATGGAGGTCTTTACACACTACTGCAGTAACAAAAAATCATTCTCTTTGTCATTAACTCAAGGGTGGCATGACATGCTGCCTTGCAGCTGCACCATGAAGAGGTGACCCAAGTCTCTGGTGCAATGGAAACCTGCTTCCCAGAGAGACTCTTGGAGCACCAGGAAACCTTTGCACTTTACCTCTGTACAGAAGGGCGTAAGCTGGGGATGCACCACAGGCTGAACATACATGTGAAAGGTGGATTCGATCTCCATCGTCCTGCCATTCAGCTTCAGGATAGGGAATTCGATGATTTCCTGAATAGGGCAAAAAGAAAAGCAGCTGTTCACTTCAAATAAACAAGAAATTAAGCTGGAAATTTTCCCATCTAGCAAGGTGGTCTGATAGTCCCAAACAAAAGTAAACTCAACACAAAGCTCTGCAGAAGTGGGAAGGTGGTGCTGCACAGAGCACATCCAACACGGTCAGAACAGACGAGGATAGTGTTGATGCTCATCACAGCCAGGACAGGCTCTGTGAGGTCTCCCTGCTCAGCACTGCAGCTGCACACATCACTGCCTAAGCTGAACCTGAGGAAGGTGGTCTCACACCACTCCCATTTGCTCCCAGAGGGTATGAAGCTGTATTCCCAATGGACTCACAACTGTTTAGCAGGGACATCGCAGGGTCTGTACCCTCCCCAAGACCAGTCTCAACCTTTCCAGACCACCATCCTTTTAAGGACACCATCAGACAGACAACAGGGACTACTGCACCTCCTCTGGAGAGGCTGAGGAGGACTGCCCTCCTCCAACAGACTGAGAAGAGGAGCTGAAAGCTCCCCCCAAATCGATCCCTATGGGATATAGCACAGTAGCTAGCTCCACTTCATTTTCCTCTTTGCAGCAAATTTATGCTGATAGGGAAATAAAAATGTTCCTTCATCAGAAGAATGTTCAATTATTTGAATAATCAGCAATCAAAAATTTACATGGACCTGTTAATAAAAAGTTTAAACAAATCCTGTTGCGATGGATTTCTCAATTATTAAAAAATATACATGAAATTAAAAAAGCCGCCCACTGAATAAAAGCGATAAAATCCTTTGTGTTCACCCCCCTTCTTCTGCACTCCCTTTCTTCCTTCCAGTTTAATGTAAGAGGAGAAGTGACAATTTGTTTGGTGTCTTTAAAGAATAATTTGTCTATGTTATTTAATAGAGATCCATGACACCGAGGTTCTGGAGTGCAAATGAGCCTGCTGAGTGATATCCATGCAACAAGCCTCTCAAATCACTTCTGGAGAAAAACAGAGAGAGGGAGAGAGAATAAAAAAAATATTGCTTTTTAATATTCAAAAACAGTTTGCAAAATTTAATCAAAGCAGAGCAAAAGCTAACATTTTTACCACTTTGACATTTTTATTAGTGCTTTCATAAATTTTTAAAACATGAACGGAATTAGTTTAACAACAAAAAAAACTGCCTGAAAACATCTGGAAGAGACAAATAAGAAATAATAAAAAATGAAAAAAAAATCCAACTCCTGTGAGTAAAATTAGCATGTGAAAAATGCAGCCGCTGCAGAGGAACTAACACACTTTTTTGGACCATGGTTGCAACCCTCATGACCTGCAGGCGGAAATTATCATGAGGTTACACATATGAGCTGATGACTTCACCACCCCACTAGGCAGCAGGAGGGCAAGAAGCTGGGTGGGTAAATGGAAACAACAGAGAATTTAAATAGCCAGGAGAAACACCCAATTTCCATGGTGGGCAGAGCCCAGAGATAGAGCAGAGCAGCTCCCCAGTGGAGCAGGGGCACAGCCCAGACCAGAGCACATGGAGAGCACGTGCTGCTGAGATGGAAAATTAGAAAAAAATGTAAAAATCAAATAAAGTGTTAACAGTGTGGAAGTGCCCAGGTGTAGACATTGAAGCTGCACAGGACGCATGGCTTAAGCATCTCCTCATGGTCAGCTGTGCCACACCCTGTGCATGCTGTGATGGATGAGCAAGAACAGATGGCTGGGCACATCCTTCCCCACAGCCATACCACCCCACTGGGAGTCACCAAGTTTTCCCAGGAAAGAGAACAAACTTGACCCAAAGGCTCTAAAGGAAGGAGAAGACACATGCCAAGCGTTTGAGTATTAGCCAGATTACCTGCTGTGGTGCAGCTAAACTCACCAGCTTCAGCCACCCAGGAGGACCCATGGAAACCCAAGAGAGCAAGAAATGCTGGATATAGCTGATCCTCCCCTCAAAAGGGCAGCCAGATAGGTTCTGAAAGCAGCAAGCTTCTGTTCAGAAGGAAAACAGACTGCAAAGTCTGAAGTCAACAGACAGGCTGCCATAACAGAGCCAGGCTTAACCTCAGGATAACACCATCCCATCTTTCAAATTGGTCTGGGGCATCTCACAGCCCCTTAGGCCTGTATCCCACCCAGAGGAATGAAAGCAGGCAAGCCCACAGCAAGGCAAGATGAACATTTCTCCTTTCAGAGAGGGACACAGACCGGCTGGATTTCATAGCAGGGCTGCGTTGCAATGCTGGGATGTACCCTAAGGGACCACAAACATCCTCAGGGGCCATCAACTGGCTGAATGCAAAGTGTGACTGAAAGACAGCATGCTGCTGATCTGATACACAAAGGCGTCACTCGCCTTCCAGAACCAAAGGCAAAAAGCACTTCCAGGAGGGTCCGATTAAGACAGACGGAGGAAATAAAAAGCCATACTTAAAAAATGTGGAAAATTTAACAATATCCAGAATTACTGTAGGTCTGTGGGAAGTGAATGGCCAGGAGCAGGGGGGGAACCCCAGAGGCAACTAGAGCATCTTAGGAGAAAGTGCAGCCACTCCCTTGAGCTTATTGGGTCAGTTTTTGAAGCAAGTGGTAAAGAACCCTTCCCAAAAGGCTGTTTATCTGCACGCTTCCTATAGCGGAGATTTTTCCAGTCTCTGGCAGTGTTTGCTCCACTGGTATCTAAGGCAACAGATACCAGCCCCATGAAATCAGCCCCACTCCTCACTAACAACGTTAGCCAGTCCTGCAATGAAATTTAACCTGTGACACTGCTGTACTTTTCATTTAAACTTTCATTTGGAGAGAAGCAGTGTTTGGAGACCCTGCAGTTTGTCCTGCTAATAAAGACAAGTGTTGGGACCTTTAAAGGTGCCATTCATCTTTTGCCTTTATTAAATTCAATTTTCTTAAGCCCATGATACATCATGAAATTAAGAGTTGACATTCCTGCAGAAACAAAAATATCTATCAAACATAAACAGAAAGGGGGGAGAAAAGAGGCCTCTATTACCAAGAATTTATGGCTTAAAGTTGATCTGTTTCCACTTTTTCTTTCTCTCTCTCCTTTTTTTTTTTTAACAAGCATATGGTTTGGTTTAGATATCTGAAATGTTATTACAGATCTAGAATTTCATTAGTAATTATTATGAAACGGTGAGCACTTAGACACTCATACACACAACCCCCCAACAGACTGTGATGCAGGAAGGCAGCCGGGTGCTCTCTCACGTTTCACAGCAGCCCAGTGAGCTCAACATACTCAGCTCCATCTCCACCATTCAAGGACCTTCACTGCTTCTTCCCAGGCAGGAAATGTGGAGGAAAGCAGCATGAGGGAGTTAAGGGAGAGATTCATGGACACTTCCTTTCTTCTATCATAGCCTGATCATCCGTAAGTGTTACCTTGAGATCCTCACATATATCCACTCCAACACTGAGTAAATGTTCCAACTTTGGCAGTGATTTGTGCCAGCAGCATTTGGGGCTTCTAAGCCTTCCCTCTGCCCCCACTGCCAGCTTTTCCTTATAGCACAACCAGGAGTTATGGATATGCTAAAATAATGCTGAGGGTGTCCAGAGGCTGCAAATAGCCGCGAGCTACCAGAGGAACAAATGTACTCATTTGAATTTTGCGAGCACTGCAATTAGGTATTTTATTTAGCACTGCAAAGTAACTTGAAAGGAAATCCAGGATTCAAACCACCACCAATAAATAAGCAGCTTTTTATTTTCCTTTCATTGTCAGAAAAGTTGGACATGTTTTCTGTTGAGAAATTCTGCACAAGGCTCCCAATTACAGACATTTGCATTTATATTGTTGGAACACAGAGCTTCTAAAATCAATATTAACACATTTAAAGAAAAAAACATCAGCACCCTCTCCCTCCCCTCAGCTGTGCCCCCAAACACAGTAACAATAGGAACCTACAGAGCCAGAGGCTTATACATATCCATTATCAGGTCCACTCTCTTTACAACAATCCTACATTTACGATTTCAAGGTACTTTAAGCAAATCTATGTGACAGCTTCCTCAGAATTTTAGTCTTTCTGAAAAACCAAGGGTTTAAAAAAAAAGAAGTTCCAGGTAGAAGTCTCCTCTGCAACCTGGCTGTCCCAAGCCAGTGGGTTAAGCAGCATCAGGGTAACTGGAATGGCTAGGGACTTTCTTCTAAGAGGGCTTTAAAAAATTCTTAATGGCACGTGAAAGCACTGCTATAAACCCAGCCTTTCCTTACCCAGTCATCCTACATGAAACTCCCTTCCCTTTAACACCAGAGCAGGGATGCACCAATTCAGCTGTCTTGATCTTCTTGCTAGTAAAAGAAATGAATGAGCACACAGCTATGCTTGCTAAACAATTTCCAGTCAGAGGAGAAAGCACCTGAAATTACCCTAATTCCCACAGACAATTCTTTTTGCTTATCCTTTTGGATCTGGGTACCACTAACATCATTATAGAGAAAGAATAAAGTTCCCAGCAAGAGCTTCCCAGCTCTCAAAACCTTTTAATCCAGATGCCTATGTACAAAGTGGACAGAGCATGCCTTAGTACACAGAGTTATATATTTGAGGAAGACTGTATGGCCTATTCAGTTCAAAAACTACCAGAGAATAATTTATCCCTTACTCTAACCCCCATGTGAAGAAGTTTAATAAACACAAGAATAAAAGATGCCCATAAAAATCAGAGCTGACTGTTCAAAATGCAATAAAAACAAGCAGAGGCTGTTGAGAGAAACGGATTTTGTCTGATAAGGAAAAGCATAAAACTTCTTACCAAAAGAACTGCTTGCACCTTCAAAAAAGGTAAGGGCAGAAGAGGTAAGGGAGTGTCTGTGGAGGGACAGAGCTTTAGCACCAGCTCATTTGGTTCAGGCACAGTTTTCCCCCCCTCTCTTTAAAGAAAAAAAAAGTGATTTTATGCACAAGGAGCTTATTTCTTAAACAAACACTCGTGTTTTTGATTTACACCATGGGCTGCTCCTAAATAATTTATGGCGGGT